GTGGTCGATGGCTCAACGCCATTACCACACAGTGATAAGGAGTAGAGGAATGCTTAGACTTTAAGAAATGCTAGGGTAGTATAAAGGAAGCGAAGGAGGAAATGAGTAGGTTATAAGGAGTATGAAAGGACGTCAAGAAGTCAAGAAGTCAAGGCGAAGGTGAGGCATGGTCATTTACATATGACGACAAAGGAACCCTTATACATAAACTACGTCACTACAGAAGAGGGTACATGACCTTGGGGAGTTAGGCCGATGACAAGCCTTTAAAAGAAACAAGACAAGCAACGAGATAAATGATGTAGAGGACAAGTTATGGTCTCAGTACGACCATCATTAGACGAGACATGGAGGAAAGTGCCACTGTAGTATAAACCAAGCCTAGTCGAAAACAATGGCGAGTCAATACGTAAGAAAGGACATAGGATATGAGAGAGAATAAATGTTAGTTGGTAAATGGCATTACGAATAGAGAACCACTTCTCAGCAGTGCGTGAGTTGGATACCAAGATAACACCGAGTTAGAAAGAGGATATTAGAGACCCTACAAACTATGCAGATCACGAAAGGTCAGGAGGTCGTTGGGATCGTTGAAAGGGGAATGCCAGAGTTCGGGATGACCTGTTATGTGGTTTTCCTATCCTAAAAAGAGTTAGAAACTAGCCACCTAGAGTACATGAGGGGTGACAGAGGAAGGAACCTCTGTAGTAAGTTGGAACTAGCTATAGGAGTAAGTCATTCAACCAACCAAGTATAGATAAGCAAGTAGAATGTTCATTGGAAGTTCTAGTAAATTTTAGAGAATTTGAGGAGGAATCTCAATGGTCATGATAAATAAAATTGGCGTACAATACAAGGAAAAAGCAAGAAGGCTAGAGGAAGTTTGACGAGGTTTCAAGAAGTCAGTTGGTGAAGAAGTCAATTAGTCAATTGGTAAGCAATCCAGTATTAGTACTGGACTTCGGTTAGCCGTCTCTAAGGCCATATCTGTGAAGTGTCATTACTCATGTCGTAGAGGGAAGGACATGAAATTTCCTGATAAAGGATCGGGAAAACGTGTAAGCGACTCGAGTGCAAAGAGTGTACATGGAGGGAAATAGTTAGGAGGGGTCGGAGCAGAAATAAAGAAGACAGCAAGAAAGTATTAGGTTGACTACCAGCGGACAAAAATTGATCCTCGGGAAGTCCATTGCGAAATTTTGGTCAACTTTAAGGTGGAATCATGGTCAGGTGAAAGTACATAAGTGAAAAGAGGACTACATCGAGAACAAGGGACAGCTAGAACTAACGAGGAACCTCAAGAAGGGTCGTGGTTAAAGAAGTAGTAGGGATATGAGTTTAGGGAACCTGCTAGGATACCCCAAAGTGGAACAAAATCACCTATGCTGGTGAAAGGTGTCAATCTCTCGGGTAAGACTCTATTGGACTGGTAAATCGTACATTGAATTTCAGCTAGGGTCCGAGAGTTAGCAGAATGGATAGTACAAGAACATAAAATTCAAGCAGCGATAAGTAAGTGCTAAGTTAGGCGCCAGGAGTGAACAAGTAAGCCAGAGAGAATGCCATGATTCTAGAAAGAGATCGCAAGCTAGATAAAGATGCAAAGGATGATTGTAATGCATGCAAGAAGTAAGATCAGTAGTGTGAGGTTTCGAGGTTAAGCAAGAAATACCGAGGAGATGACCACTCAGTTTATGGTTAAAGGATAAGACGAGGCATCAAGGAAGAAAGTAAGGGATGCAAAGTTAGGAGATACAAGGACCCAGGTGACCTATGAGGTCAACCCTAGACGAGAGTTACATTAAAAGAGTTTTATGATATAACAAGATGGAGGTTAAGGAGCCATTAGTAACCTTAGGGTTGAAAGGGGTATTAAGAACATTAATAGGGATATGTACGGGATTTTCTCATGCTAAAGGCACCATATATGGTGAATCAGGCATCAAGTTGTGCATCAAGGGGAGCTACCAAACAGGGTAATAATGAGGTCTACATGGGGGGGGGGGGGGAAAGCAATACCTAGGGGGCGATCTATGAGTAAGCCATTAACCAAGTCAAGCATTCGCTACGGACATCGATGTTAGGGAATTCAAGTTGAGATGTCAACATTCAATATATGGGAAGCGTAGTAGTTCAAAGTCTGAGCACCTTATGAAATGAAGTTAAGACGGGTCATGTCCTGAATAGGGTTGTCTAAGAACTTATTTCATTAATATCTCTTAAGAAATCCAGAGTAGAGACCCAAGACAAACCGCTGAGAACAACGTGAAGTACGAAACCATTATAATATCAATGGCGTTTATGAAGGGGGAGTGCCATAGTACCATAGTCGCGTTGAGAAAGTAGCTAGCTCAGTACGTGGTTTATGAGAAGTGGGTGAGTTATAAGTCAGCCAAGTACCACAACGAATTGGAGGAAAGATTCATAGCTCAAGGTCGGGCAAAGTAACGGAAGTATAAATCCCTATAGTAGAAGGATTCCTCAAGTAGGACTTTAAACTATCACGATGAACAAATTTTGAGGTCGAAACTTTTTTCTTAAGGAGGGGAGGAATGTGATATCTTGATCTTTGATTTAAGTTCAACATCAACTACCAGGAGAATTGGATCAACATGGCAAGCCGAATTGGCATTTTGGTTCACCACGTTTGGGGGTCAAATTGTGAAATAAAAAGGTCGTGAGCCACTCAAGGTTACACCGGTGCTACAAGCTAGGGAATTATAAATGATCAAGGGTTACCAACGAGTTGTTATAGTAAGAATAGATGATCGTGAGAAGGAAGTATAAAAAGGGTGTTGATAGAAGGATGAGTTCCGAGCAAATTTCGGGGACGAAATTTTTATAAGGGTGGAGGAATTGTTACACCCCTACCTTTAGGTTCAGGTTCGACCATTATACGTAAACAGTTGGATTAACGGTTACGTACTAAGGATTGAAACCGCGGAATAATAATAATATTAACTACTATAATAATAATTATTATTATTAATTTTGAAAAAAATAATAATAAAGCGGCCCTCCCAATTGTTTTCCCAAAGCAACCGCCAGCGTGAATAAACTCCCCCCCCCCCCCTTAGAAACCCTCGTCCCAAATCAGCACTCCCCGCCGCCATTCTTTTGTTGGTCGAAGAGAGATAGAGGAGACCGCTGCTAGCAAGGGATTTAAAGTAATTGGAGCGTTGCTAGTGGGCAGCAGCTCGGATATGGAAAAGGCCTGCCGCGAAGCTCTCTATTATGCTAGAGACTCGGAGGATATTCGAGCGCAGCTAGCTCTGTTTCTCCCCTAGCACCAGCGGACAAGCACAACCGCCCCCGTACACCAGAAGAAGACACTTGGTTGGATTCAATCTTTCCCCCACCTACGAGCAGCAAAGAGAAGCGCTAGCAGCAATGTCCTTGTGCCTAGCATCGCCATCATTGGGATCAGACAGGAGAAAACGAAATTTGACCATCCTCATGCTCTCGGTTACAGGTGATGTGGGGTATGACAAAAGAAGATGGAAAACGAGAAGTGATGGAGGGGGAAGTAAAATCGGATCTGTCAACTTGAACAACCAATTAGGTGAGTGTAAAGGGGGTAAATTCTACGCCTTACGATTTTCAAGTATTTGCCTTGAGTATTTTCGAGTATTGCTTTACGTGATGTATGTGCAGTATTTGATTCATGTTTGTGATTGCATGATTATGGTTGATGATATGTGCCTTGTTTGGCTTATGACTTGAAGTGAATGGTTATTAGTTACCTTTAAAATTTTATGAGTATAAGTTATTGTTAAAGTTTAAGAAACAAGGTCTTTTTAAGAAGTAACTCACCTTCAAGAAGTGAAGTCGTTTTAAGTGTTTTTAGTCACTAGTGCTAGTCCGTTGCCATTTGAGATTTTCAGATAGAGCAGCAGTTATGCTCTTGAGATTTTTTAGACAGAGCAGCAGTTATGCTCTTGAGACTTTTAAGATGAGCAGCAGTTATGCTCTTGAGAATCGTAGTGAAGAGCCACCACGATAAGTTTAAGATGTTAGGGGGATGAATCGTTACGACTTCCCTAACTAAGTTTAAGTTTAAGGAAAGCCTGGATGGCTTCTCATACGTATGAGTTGGCAACCGGACTAGCTAGTGGGGGATCCCAGTGTCAGTCAAGTATTTAAGTTGAGATTTAAGCTTTAAGAATGGAGAGTAACAATTACTCCCATACAGTTTTAAGAGTTAAGATTTTTTTTTAAGAATGGAAGTACAAATAACTTCCCCCAGTTTGAGTTTAAGTGTTTGAGAAGAAGTGCAAAATATTAGAAAGTTTAAAACGTAAGGGCGTAGACTGACCCCAACTCACTCACCAGGCCTTAGTAAGGGAATGAGCGAGAACCAGATCGGTAGCAGCTAGCTAGAGGAGCAGTTAGAGAGCAGCGAGTTCGAGAGGAAAAGTTCGAGAGCAACCAGCTAGAGGAGGGCAGTAGAAGCGTCACAGAGGATGCTTAGTCAAGGTTTTAGTAGCAACAACATTAGAGATTATCAGTTATTACATTTATGATTATGAGTATAGACTGGAGATCAGTTTGAGATTTTAAAGTTTGAGCTTAATTTGCCCACGTGTTAGGGCTTTGCTTTGATCTACAAGTGTGTGTTTTCAGTATTTTATTTATGAAAATTTTTCCTCCTGCAATTTTAAGATTTGAGTATTTTATTTATCAAGGGCATTTTAGTAAAATGTAGTACCCGGCCGGGTTAGGGTGTTTCAAAAGGTTCAGGAATATTCCTTTTTGCACCCAACACAAGAAATATGAGTCACAGGGGTATGAGGACATCTTTGGCCGAATTTTAGTAGAAAAATACGGTAAACCCCTTCTTTCCTTCCACTAAAAATAAGTGGTGTCGACTAGACTTCGAACTACCTTCGATTCTTGCTAAGGGTTGATGTTATAAGTAGGGTTGGGAAACAGTTTACGGTTTTCTAGTTTAACCGAAAACTTAACAGTATAAATCGGTTCGGTCGTGAACGAAACAGTGTACAACAAGGGAAAATATTTTGGTCCAATCCGGTTTTAACTGCAAATCCGGATTAGCGACCCAATAGCCCTTGCCCACCCCTCAAGTCCAAGCCCAGACCCCAAAAACCATCCCACACACTGGCCCCACCCATTCAAACCATAAAAAAAAACTAATGATAGGCCATCCTCCTCCCTTTACAGTTTCCATTCTCCTTTTTCCACACCCCATTTACATTTCACAACACTATCCCAATCTCAATCCTCTTCTCTCTTCCTTTCCACCATGCAATGAGTGGTAGACAAGGACAAATTGAATCAGGACACGATCCTTCTATGCCCACCACATCAAAGAAAATAATAGAAGAAGGCCAAGGTCTTGACTCTGAACTGGTGACGATGACTCCTGATGAGTCTCCAACGGTTATGCCAAAGTTAGCTTTCGATCTCCGATTACGATCTCAACGTGAGGCGGCGCCAAGGTTGGGGACCAGGGAGGCAAAGGGCGACGGGGATCCGGAGAGGAAAGAAGTAGGAGAAGGTAAAGAACTGAGGAGAGAGAGAGAGAGAGAATATGGTTGTTTGTATTGGGGGTGGGACAAGCGAGTGGGGGTGGGGTGATTTTTATTTGTTTAATTTGTTTCCACTGTGGTAGAAAATTATTGTTTTACATTGAAAAAGCCATTAAATTGTGTTTGGTTAAAATCGTATCAAATCGGTTCGTATCCGGTTATAACCATTTACAATCCAATCTAATTTATGGTTTCTATTTCTTCGAATACTAGATCCATATTCTCCTTCATGCCTTAGCCACTCCTCTTGAATCTTGGAAGGATTCGAGGTTGATTTGATGAAAAAATCTTCAAAGAAACCTACAAATTTGTTATTATCCCAAGATATTTTCTTGCAGTCGTGAACTCTATCTCGCGGTTGGGATAGAGTGATTTTGCTGCAATCCTTCACTCAGCTAGATTTTGATAAGAACATGCATTTGGGATGGGCTAGAAAAATGAGAGATTTCACAACGGCCTGATTTCGAAAATCACATGTATAGAATTTTTTTTTTACAAAAGATAATCATATTGATTGAAAAAAGATCATTACATCCTGGAATTTAACCAGGCCAGAAAATCAAAGGATCGACATGTAGTAGGGTACAAAGAAAGGGCCTTTCTAGCCACCGAATGGGCTACCCTATTGCTACGCCGACCTACAAAACGAACATTAAACGAAGAGTGCACTGGCAGAAGCTGGATGACCTCCTCGAGAACGGCGCCGACCTGGTTTTCACAGGAATCCCGGTTATTAACCTTATCGATGACCACACTCGCGTCTCCCTGAAAATTTGCCTCTGTAACCCCCAACTCTAGGCACCACCGCAAGCCCTCCCGCAAAGTAAGCAACTCTGCCGTCATGGGATCATCAATAGCAGGGAAGTGTACCCCTCGAGCATGAAGGGTCCGCCCCTCATAATCAAAGAGAACCATACCCCCGGCCGAGTGAGAACCCCCCCCCCCCCCCCCCCCCCCCCCCCCCGCGTCGCTCCATCCCACATACAGGTGAGTCAACTGGGAACACTCTCCGTCCCACCCCCCACCAACCGCGGGGAAAGCGTCGGCATACCACGGTCTTTCGGCAAATTGACCCATTCCAGGTATTGCTGATTTAGTTGCCTCATCAAGACGGGGATCCCATATTGCTTGCCTTCAAAGACTACCCAGTTGCGGGAGCGCCAGATACGCCAAAGGACTGCCACAACCGCCGTGACCATGTGAGGCTGATGAATCAATGCCATCAACTTTTTAAGGAAGAGCGAAAAGGTATGCCGTGGTAAGCCCTCCCCAAGGTCATCTAAACCAGAAAACTCCCAAAGACTCCGAGCAACTGGGCAATCGAGGAACAGATGCTCCAAAGTTTCTTTCTCAGCCCAACACACCGGGCATCGAGGTAGCACCTGAACCTTCTTCTCGATGAGGGCTTCTGTGGTAGGGAGGAGTCAATGGAAAAGCTGCCATAAAAATATTTTAAGCTTAGGAGGCAAATCAACATTCCACAAACGGATCCAGCTCGGCCTATCCATCCAACTAGCCATTGATCTCCATCTGCCCCCTTGCTTATCCAACCGGACTGCAAGATGATAAGCCGTCTTCACCGAAAAGAGGCCATCCCTGGATTCATGCCAAATAAGTTTATCAGCCACAATATCACAAGGGAGGGGAATAGTCTTAATAGCCTGACAGATGTTGGGAGGGAACCACTGGCTAAGACTTTCATCACACCACCTCCCTTCCCCCTGGATAATCACCGCCGCCAATTTAGGTTCTGCCTCATCCGGAAGGACACGAGGGTTATAAACTAGCCCCTCCGGGTGAATCTAGGGACCCAATTCGATGATAACAACGGAGTCGTTGCACCATCACCATCTGCCAACGGAGACCTTGGAGTAGCAACTGACGACCATGCAAGATACTCTTCCATCCCCAAGAGGGACGGGATCTGGCCGTAGCAGAGAGGAAATCCCCCCGCGGAAAATGTTTACCCTTGTAAACATTGGCCAACAGCGATTCAGGCTCCGACAGGATTTGCCATCCAATCTCAGCCAGAAGGGCCTGATTGAAATGTTCAAATCTACGAAAACCCATACCACCATCATGCTTACTGGTACACATGTTGCGCCAAGACATCCAACGAATCCGGGATCGCCCACCTTCCATACCCCACCAAAACCTGGCCACATGGCTATCCAGGAGCCGACACAAAGCCAGAGGGAGCTTAAAACAGGACATCACATGCAGAGGAAGAGCCAATGCGACTGATTTAATCAGCGTTTCTTTGGATGCCCAAGAAAGGGTCCTTTGCTTCCACCCATGCAGCCTACTCAACAGCTTCTCCTCCAAGAAACGAAACGTAGCCAACTTAGACTGAGCAATCAGCGTTGGCAACCCTAAATATTTGTCATGCACCCCGACCGCCCCAACTCCCAATATATCAGCAAGGAATTCCTGGTCAGCCTGGAGGACATTCTTACTAAAGCAAACTGCTGACTTATCCAGGTTAACCCTCTGTCCACTCAGCTCATCATACTCATTCAAAACCTCAATCAAATTCTCACACTCTTGGAGAGAACCCCTGAGGAACATATTCGAGTCATCAGCAAAGAAAAGGTGGGATATTCGAGGTTCCCTAGGAGCAACCTTTACCCCCTCCAGTTTCCCAGCCTCGATCGCCTGCTTTAAAAGAGCCGCAAAGCCCTCAGTGCAGAGCACAAAGAGGAGCGGAGAAAGAGGATCCCCCTGCCTAAGCCCTCGAGTCGGAATAAAGAAACCTGAAGGGGAGCCATTCATAAGCACCGAAAAGGAAGCCGATCGGAGGCATTCGTGGATCCAGCCACACCAAGTCTGGTTAAACCCTAATTTTACCAAAATCGCGAGTAGAAAGGACCATTCGACTCTATCATAGGCCTTTTCCATGTCAACCTTCAGAGCCATGTACCCTTTCTTACCTTGCGTTTTGATTTTTAAATAGTGCATTAACTCATGCCCAAGAAGGACATTCTCCACAATGTGACGATCCCGAATAAAAGCATTTTGGCCCTCTGAAACAATTTGGGGAAGATAGCGAGCTAACCTCTCAGACATAATTTTAGTTATGATCTTATAGACAAATTGGCAAAGGCTAATTGGCCTGAGTTGTCGCATATTCTCCAAATTATCCACCTTGGGTATTAGGGTGAGCCAAGTGTGATTAAAGCTGCGAAGCAACCTGCTTGTGTCAAAGAAAGATTTGACAGCATTAACCACCGACTCTCCCACCAAGGACCAAAAAGCCTTGAAAAACTTCCCCGTGAAACCATCTGATCCTGGGGCCTGCTTGGAGCCCATGGAAAAAACAGTTTTCCTGATTTCCTCAGGAAGGACCACAGCAGTAAGGGCCTCATTCATATCTTCGGTCACCCTACGATCAATAGGTAAATCGGCAATCCTGGCCTCCATATTCCCAACCTGGGATTCAGACGTAAAAAGGTGGTGGCAGAAATTGTTGGCTATGTCAGCCTTTCCACGTTCCTCTGTGATCCATTCACCTTCCTCATTATGGAGGCCCGCAACAAAATTGCATTTACATCGAGCGCGAGTGACAGTGTGAAAGTAAGATGTGTTTTTATCTCCTTTTTTGAGCCAATGGACACTCGATTTTTGCTGCCAATAGATCTCTTCCGCCTCCCACTGACGATTTAGCTACATCTCCAGCTCCCTCACCAAATCCCAATTAATTGGAGCAATCCGTCTCACCTGCTCAATTTCAGCCTGAAGGGTTTTTATATTGCGGAGGGAATTGGTAGTGCCTGCCCTACTCCAGTCATACAATAAATGACGAAGTTTTTTCAGTTTCTCCCAAAGTTGGAACATGGGGGATCCCTGTATTTCCTCTTGCCAAACATAAGCCACCATTGCTTTGACCTCTGGATTCTCAGCCCAGCGAGCATCAAAACGAAATAGAGGGCGACTATTTCTGGCGTAAATTTTATCAGAAAGAATTATCGCTCTGTGATCGGACCCTTGGTCCGTAAAATGCTTCACAAGAGTTTCAGGGAATCTATCCATCCAAGCTTGGGAGCAGAGGGATCTATCCAAACGTTCTCGGATACAGGCATCACCCATCCTTTTATTAGTCCAAGTGAACTAATCCCCTTGGCAACCAGGATCATGAAGACCCAAATTCTAGATAAAATCTCTCAGAGCCCCTGCCTGGGAGGCATTCCAAGGATTCCCCCCCGCTTTCTCCGACTCATGCAAAGTCACATTAAAATCACCAATTACTACGTAGGGGTGTTGAATTTCTTCACAGATTTGGCGCAAGATATCAAGCTGATTCGCACGGATTATTTCATGACAACTCAAATAGACACAAATCACAACATAGGAGAAATCTCTTTCATTAATTCGAACACAAATGGAAAAATCCGAATGGAAAAACACCGAGGCATCAACCTCAGGAGACCAACCTACAACTAAGCCACCAGCAGTATCAATGGCATCAACAAAATAACAGTGGGATAAATTGAAACCTAAACCCCGCATACGACGGGCTACTACTCTCCGGCACGATCTTGTTTCCATAAAGAAGACAAGGTCCGGTTTATTAGAATGCAGCAGACCAACAGCGGTTTGGAATGTGAGGGATGGTCCAATTCGCCTCACATTCCAGGCCAGCATTCTCATTTATCCAACTGGGGCCATTCGAGGCTGGCTTCCTCCACATTTTCTTCATTCAATTTTTCTTCAACAAATAGTTTTTTAGGCGTGGGGGGCTCTTGCCCATCTCCACCCATTTCCTCAAAAGCGCGCTTCTTTCCACCATTCTCAGGCTCCGAAAAGTTGCTCCCATATTCATTAAGTTTCCAAATCATGGCTCGCTCCGACGCTTCAGGTGAATAAGAAGGGCGCATGATATCCTGGCCGCCAGGGTTATTAAGAAGCAAACCGGCTTCAAAAGCCGCCACTACCTTCCCCACCCGCCCGCCAGCATTAACAGATACATCAGCCTGGATCTCCTTTTGGGCCCGCCTCTTAACCTCAAAGCAGTGAGGTTCATCAGCCGACAGAGGTGATTCCGGGCCCAAACTCACTTGGTCCACAAGTTGGGCCTCATTATTGGGCCTAGGCGAAGGAGCCATATTTCCCTAGGGGGATAGCCTCACAGAACTCTGGCCAACAAGGACTCCCCGGCCCATATTTCGCGTCTCCTCACCTCCCGCCGCCGACAGTGTCTGCCGAGTTTCCCTGGATCGGCCTTTCTTCCCAGCAGTCTCTGGTTTCGGCTTCATCTTGCGAGGCTGGCTTTGCTTCACCTGAGGCGAATCCGCCGCCTTCACCCCCTTCCCTTTCCTTCCCGGTCCCGATCCAGCCGTCTTCAAACGCACGGGGTCTGGCAGCATCACATGGTCCGCCGCAACAGACTCAAGACTGGCCGGGACGGGCTTCGCAGGGAATTGGAAATCATCGTCTGAATCATCCTCCAAAATCAAACGCCTTCGCCGAGTGGCCTCAGTCTCGCGGATCAGACTAGCATTCTCCCCATCACTATGGTTCTCGATGCAACTTGAGAACGAGTGTTTTTCCTTCATTGACTCAACTCGAGGCACTCCACTCGCCTCCTTCTCCCGAAGTCGGATTAATTTCTTGGTCGGTCGCTGGGTCTCCCCAGCCGTGATAGCTTGACGGGCCGAAGATCTCAGACCCTTGGTCCCGGTTTGCCCGTGCTCCTGCCCAGCCTTCGGAGCTGCACGCATCGCCGCCACCTGGGAATTCTCCCCTCGGTCATGATCTTTAGCCCGCGGCGAGCGCAGAGATTTCCTCTTACCAAAAATATTTGGTGATTTCTTCAGAGCAAACCCTCTCGGGCTTTTGCCCTTCTTGGGATTCCCAACCATCAGCCTCGCATGGGGCAACAGCACCTCCTGCTTGCGATTTTGCATCCCAGCTTGCGAGGACTCAGTAGGCCTGTCCAGGCTGTTTCTATCATGGTCAACCGACCTTCCGCTGTGATCTCTAGTCTCTCTATTCTCACGCAGGTCTTTATTCACCCAGACTGTGTTAGATCCGCCACGATAAGACGAAGCTACATCATCCTCATCATAAATTCTAGTTCCCAAGTTCTTGGTGGACATATGGGAGCCAAAATTTTCCTTCCGAGCAGGCGGATCAAAAGCACAATCGCTCATCATATGGCCAACTCGGCCACATCGGAAGCAAACTATCGGAAGATGCTCATACTTCAACTCAATCCAGAAGCGACCTGTCTCATCACTAGCCGCCATGAGTTGTGATCGCAACGGTTTAGAGAAATTAATCAAGGCTTTCACTTTGACGAAACATTGATAAGTTTTCTGACAGGCAAACACCCCTGCCTCAAGGACGTGACCAATGGTGCTGTGAACCATTTTCCGGCCAAATTGTTTTGTGCAGCAGTCTTCAGGCATGCCCCACATCTGGACCCGAAAGGGAGCCACGGCAAGGTCATCAAAAGTATGTCTGGTAATGGATGCCGTCCATCGCCGAACATGCAGAATTTTTTCTCTTAGGACCCAAGGCGTTCGTTTCAGCACCCAATTCCTGGCTGTCTCATCTGGTAACACGAATTCGAACAGCCCATGTTGAGCCATCCGCACCTGGATCCGTCCCTTCCCCTGCCAAGGACCATTGACCGCCTCCCTCATTTCCCTGATCGTGACATTGCTTATCGTAAACACTCTGCCCACCAGAGCACTGGAGCTGCGAATCCTTGTCGGTTGAATCTCATCCAAAGAGAACTGAACAACCTGATCTTCGTTGATACGTTCCATAGTGTGATCCTGCAACGAACAATGGTGGGAGATAATATTAGGCCACATAACTGGTTCCTTTACACCTTCCCAACAACCACCAAAGCCAATATAATCCTGTCGATCTTGACAGTGGGCTGGAGAAGGTGGTGTCACAAGCAAAGATGGGGAAAAAAGAGGTAGAGGCTTAGTCAAATGGAGCGAGCCCAGCAGCGATGGTAATTGCACACCAATGAACAATCGCGGCTGCACATGTATAGAATTTAAAAATAGCTGACTCCAACTATTTCAAAATCTTCCATTTTCTTTTTATTTCTTTCAAAGCTATCCCTAGAATATCTACCTCCTTCTCTGCTTCTCAATTTAATAACCTCATCCCTCGCATTTCCTAAACGCCAACAACAAACCTGATGGAGTCACTCGTAGGGTAAAGGGTATATTAGGAAAATTTTAATTAGTTAGTGGTTAGGGTTTAGTCTATATAATGTAGATTTTTGTTGTTCAGTTATTGGGTAATCGAGAAATAATAAAAGAATAGTTCAATATATCTCCCAAACGTTAAATTTCTTTCTTCTCCCTAAATCGGCCGCCGCTCAGTTCTTGCTCTTCTCCCTCAAAATATTTATTCAATTATTTTGCTTCAAACACCTAGACATGCTAGACAAAATATATGACCCAATATTTGCCTTACACCTAGTGCTTTCTCTAACCTTAATATAGATTATTTATTTGGAAAATCAATCCACAAAAGGCATGACTACCACATCACACCCCTGGTGTAAAAATGGGATCTCCCACCTTCTATTATTTGTTTTATTTGGAAAAAGTAGGTCTGTAGGTGAAAGTTTTCCCACTACTTTAATGGGCGCTTTGCTTTGCCACGAATTTCTGCATATCATAATGAGAAAGCTGCTTATGTATTATTGTTATCATTGTGATGGTACGGGTAATTAACAACGAAATTGTGCGGGTGAGCGATTGCGTTGGGAGGCAAGAAAAGAAAAGAAGAAAAGAACACTTCTTACAGCGAAAGCTATCTCTCGTTTCCAAAATCGGAAACAACGTGAGGATCCATCTAAGTTGGCCGAAAAAGCAAAGCAGCTTTCGTTTTCCTTCATGGGACTAACATCAAGTTTTGAAAAGGACTTCTGATTTATGGTCATTTAGTCATTTCTTAGTTGAGTCTAGATACTCAAGTTCTAGTAAATGTCAATTTTGAGCACGTTGTCATTTTCTTTAATATAAGCAACATTTCTTTGGTGTTGGTTTTGCTACAAATAAGCAACAATTTTCTTTTTATTATTATTATTATTATTATTATTATTATTATTATTATTATTTCTGAGTGGTGTAAGGTTTAAGCATTTGAAAACGTTTTCTTTCTTCTTTAAGGTTAACTAGAGGCGATATATTCTCTTTTTTATATGGTGAAAGGCTATATATTCTCTATGAGTGAGTGACTTTGGTTTATTATTTTTATTTGAAATCATTCAGATACATTTTTGTTAGAGTAAATTGACTTGAAATATTTATTATCATATCATATGAAAAATGTTCCAAATTGAAGACCTATATACATAATAATATAAATATATAAAACCATGTGTTATCACATAATTCATTATAAAAAATTATAGTATGATCAAATTAAGGAGGCAATAAAACAATATGACAAAATAATGAAATAATATTGGTTAAGCTATAACTACAGCGACACGATTCCACACATATATTTATGTTCCTAAAATACCCCTCCATCAGTTAATTAATCTAACCACAAACTTCACCTTCGAAATCCTCTATCCATCTCTCAATCCCGGGATGGGATTAGGTGCTAACCCTTATAGGGGTTATCACCGTGATAACTAGCAAAAAACGTTACTAAAAATAACGAAATCACTACGGATTATTATAAAATCAATACAACATCTAAGCTAAATCACTATTAAGTCAAACTAGTAGTAATTTTTCCCTTGATTAGGACGGTGCTAACTATTGTACAATTAGCACCGTAACCGTTCCCCTCAACCAAATTCGCACGGCCGCACAACCGCCTCCTCTATTTTTATGTCGTGATAGGGATTCTGCTGGAATAAGTCATCAGGGACTGTTTGACTCTAGATTGTCGTCTCTCCTCCTATAAATAAGGAATGACGAACGCAAAATATGTTTTTAGGCTTAAGATTTTATTATATAGCTAACAAAGTTTTTAATTGAAACTTCGCCGACAAAGTACCGAGCATTCGAACGACGATGAATCGAGGAAACCTACATCCTTGTCCAATCTATCCCTAGGCATTTACAAGTAGGGAAATCCAATACCTTATATTAGAAATAATTTTGAAGCAGGTTATTCACGGTTGCATGAAATTTGGGCAATACCGATGGTTTCGTATACATTTGGCGATGGATTCTTGGTCCATCAGTAAGGAATGCCTAAATTTTTACATACCAGTCCATGTATATATATCAATTTATAGCATTCTAGGCTATGAAGTTTGGGAACCTGAAATTCTGGATTCAAACAACCCGAGTAGCTCCACTTAAGCATCTTCTTCTCCGTATTAATGCTTCCTTTAATAACCAACCAATTAATAATTCCATTCATTGGGATTGCATTTCCTTTCCATACAATTTTCCACCATGAGACTCGTTGCTGAGTAAGACGAATATGGTTCTAGAATCTTTTGATAGAAACCTGGGCATAGGGGAACGATTCAACATGAGTAGACCATTACATACAGAAATTAAGTGTTCAACTCTTCTTCTCATTTTAAGTATCTTCCTCCAGTTCCACGATCAAGATGTGCAAGTATATGTCCATAAATTTCTCCCTTTTGGTTTATAACTGTTAATCCATCTCACCCAAAGTGATCCTTCATGCAAGAGAATGAGCCATATTTTCCTCACCATACATGCTGCATTCCAGCTACTCATGTCTCTAAAACCCAATCCACCTTCTTTCTTTGGGAAGTTTAACTTCTCCCATTTTATTTACCCTCAGCTTAATGCCAGCTTCAACTCCCCAAATAATTAAAATGGCTACATATCTTTTGCACCTCTTTAATGATTGATTTTGGCAGTAGGATCACTGACATCCAAAATTGAGTTAAGTTGTATAGGACAGAACCCACAAGTTCAATACGCCCTGCCTTCCCTAGCCACTAACTTATCAATGAAAGGGTTACATGCTGCCATACTAAGTTTTCCAAAAATAAGTGGGACTCCCAAGTATCTAACAGGGAAGGCCCCCAACTGGTAATCATATCTGGCAGCTCTCCTCGCTCTCTTTTCCTTATCCAATCCACCAAAAAAGATTTCACACTTGCTTGGATTTGACTTAAGCCCAAAAATCTTATTGAACTGAGCTAAAACCCTCTATAAATATTGGATTCCAAAGTTTGAAGCACCAGAAAAGACCAAGAGGTCATCAACGAAGCATAAATCAGTTAGCTGAACCTTTCTACACATCGGATGGTAAGGAAAAATTCCAGTGGAGGCTGATTTATCCAATAGACAAGTGAAAATTTCCATGGCAATAGAGAACAGATAGGAAGTAAGGATCCCCTTGTCTGAAGCCCTTACTTGCTTGAAAATATCCAACAAGTCCTGCATTAAAGAAACATTGGGCATTAGAGTTCCCATACACATTTTAATCCAGTTAACAAATCTTTCAGGAAGCATCATACCCTTAAGAACTTAAACAATAAAGTTTTAGTCTACCGAATCAAATGCTTTCATGAGGTCAATATTTAAAGTACATCTAGGAGAAATATTTTAATGGAAGTATTTACTGACTAGCTCATTTGCTAATAATATGTTCTCACCAATTTGTCTTCCATTCACAAAAACTGTTGAATTTTAGGGAAGGAAGCAAATGACTGATTCGGTTTGCTATCAGCTTGGAAATGAATTTGTATATGATGTTTCAATAGGATATGGGATGAAAATTGTTCATTTCATCAGGATTAGCGAGTTTCAGGATAAGGGTTAGAATTGTAGCATATACTGTCTAAGGACTCTATCTTGCTCAAAACAATATTGAACGACAAGGGTTACTTCAGAGCCAATAAGTGGCCAAGCATATTGGAAAAGGGCAGCAGAGAAGCCATCCGGACCCGAAATCTTATCATCATCCATTGCAAAGAAAACTT